CCCTTCTTTTGTTTTTATTTTTCAGGAATTTCATAGTCATATAATTCAATATTAAATTCATACAATTCGTAAATATTTCAGAGCCTATATTACGTAACTAGATGATGGTGTGCGAGGGTTCTTAGTTTGTTAGTAGGAATAAAACAGTTACGCGCATCCTGTGTCTGTCTCTATTGATGATCTCATGAGATGTAAAGAGGGGAACAGAGATGTGTGGTCAACTACTTCTAGAATTCTCTTTGTTTAGAACAGAAGGACAACTTGTTGCGTACAAAGAGCACTGGAAACTACCATTCTAGATGTGATGATAAGCTTTAATATGTAACTTAGCGGTTCTGTGTTTACTCCACAACCTTATCTTTTTGTGTTCGAGAGGAGGGAAATGTTGAACGAGAAAATTAATCTAGAGTCCTCAATATTTACTAATTTAAAACAAAAGGAGAAACAAACATGTCACACTGCACACATGAGCCAACTTCACTGCACAGAAACTTCTTATTTACATTTTCCACAACACATTCCAAGATTGCTTGTGTAGAAGCTCATGCAAATTTTTCCGTCAAAGGATACTCTAATTGAAACTACTTTTCGTTTACAGTAGCATATTTTTATAACGTAAGAATTGTGTTTGAACTATCATAACACCTCATTTAAATATACAACCAAATTATGTGCACGTAAAATATTGGTTTATTATCTGGAGAAACAAGTTCATTTGTTGCAAAATGTAGTACTATTGAGGATTTTGGGAAGAGGATAAAAGTAGCTATCAACTAAAATATACATTTTACCAAAAAAACTTAAAGCAAGCATTTATTTTAAAATTACTTTTGAAAGGAGAAAACATGTGAAGAGGACAATTTTCCCTTACCTGTACTAGCATAAACCGTTACTAGTCTAGACTTACTGAATTTGTAATAACATTTTAGGTTCGCGAATCCTCCTAGAACTTTTCTCAGTTTCTCAAATATGTTCGCACAAAATTGGAGAGCAATTTATCTAATGGCTCAAAAGTTATTGGGAATTCATTGATGTTTCCGGTCATGCCAACTGCGGTGGTCATTGAATTCGACTTAGCTTTCTAGTTAGTTTTGAATACTCGCCATCGTCGTGTCTCGAACCCTAACGCTTCCTCCGTGTTGTAAGTCGAAGTCGCTCGGTCGAAGTCGCTCGGTCGAAGTCGCTCGGTCGAAGTCGCTCGGTCGAAGTCGCTCGGTCGAAGTCGTTTGGTCGAAGTCGCTCGTTCGAAGTCGCTCGGTCGAAGTCACTCGGTCGCAGTCGCTCGGTCGAAGTCACTCGGTCGAAGTCACTCGGTCGAAGTCGCTCGGTCGAAGTCGCTCGGTCGAAGTCGCTCGTTCGAAGTCGCTACAGAGACAATGGTAATGAGTTAACTCAGCCAGTAAAAGTTATTGCGGAACAAACCACACCTTGCAAACCCTCATGAATCCATCTTTTGTTGTGCAAAAGAGGCTTCTAAAGAACGGACTCCGCGCCGCCAGGAAATTGAAATTGCCGCGAAAACGAAGCACCCGCTTTTCGAGGCGTTCCCTTATTGTTCACCTCGACGAATCATCACCGGCTGAAGTTGTTCAGAGCATCAATTGGTGTCACTGCAGTATCTCTGAGATTCTGTGCCTCGAGGCTCGACGGTGGTGGCAGGGTATTCGTCACTAGCTAGGCAGCTGGGTCCACTTCAGCCGCTGTCTGGAGGATAATTGTAGCGGTCGGTTGTTCTGATCGGTAGTTTTCCGTGATTTATCCGTTCAATACCAGGCGAATGCGGGTGCAGTATCCTAACTAAACGGGCCAAGGACTACGCGCGATTTTTCCTTCGTCGTCCTTCTCCAATCCCCACGCCTTACTTACACTTACACTTGCGTGCACTTCACCACCACACATATCGGGAGACCAGTCGGGAGTTTAGAGCTAGTTCCGGATGGGGCGGTGCCAAGCTGATGGGAGATACCTGGTTTGGGGAAACCTCGCTAGCCGACTGGTAGGTCGGCACCAGATCTCACCATCCAGCGGGGGAATATCATCGCCACCTCCTGGCATAAAACATGCACTGCAGTTACGGAACGAATGACCTTAGCAGTTGGCGCGCCCGGAATCACTAGTCATTTAATCAACCGCCGAGTTATTCGCAGGTCGCTAGCGTCATAGCGTCATAGCTAGGGTCATAGCGGTCTAGCGGCCATGACCGTCTGCCCCTGGATCCCCCGACCTCGCGTCCCTGTGACTCCTTCGCAAGGGTCGTAAGCCCCCGCGCCGGACGATGACGCGTCGGTCGTCATCGCGCGGGTACTGTCAGCCGTGGCCGTCCTCAGCGCTTGCGACGGTGCCCTGTTGTCAATAAGTGCGGGCGCATTTGAGCATATGCGCTGACATGCTCATAATGCGAGCGACTATGCGAGCGGTTTAATTTAACGGTTTTCGAGTGCACGGATATCTCGCGCGATTGCACGACTGCACGGATATCTACGTGCGGTTTTGTTATTTCAAGGCCTTCGGACTTCCGTCTCGCACCCTCTTTCTTCTCCGTTCTGTTGTGCGGTTGGGCCTTATCACCCGCTGGGAACCACAATTCTCCGGTACAGGCGACGACGAAAAAAAACGATTATTTCGGAGTAGTGTTGAGGCACTTACAACACAATTCACTCCAGTATTCAATTCTGATATTTGCTTAGTGAAGGAAAATTTGAATTTGAATTTCTTCTCAGAAAGTAATGTCAAACAATGTTTGTTAAAAAAAACAATTTAGATGCGACTTTTCGAGAACATTTTGCGCAGTACTTAATTGTGTATCATAATGGGATGCAATAGAAAAAAATAAGCCACACAAAATAACTACACTAGTATTTTACATTTTCTATTTATATGCATAAAAATCACTAGAAACTAGATCATTCTGAATAAAATGAATTAATACAAATATTTGTTTTCAAAATACGAATTTAGAAGTCATCAATTTCTGAGGGTATACCTACTATGAATTTAGTTACTTTAGTTATAGAGGAAGCGATTTTCTACCAAATGTTTTATTTTCGATTATATTTACAATGTAGTTAACCTTTCTTGTCATACATTCAATTCAGTAGTTCTTCCTATGTAAATTTGTGAATTTTTGTCCCATCCATCTGTATAAAACTCATTTTTGTTTTTCCTAGGCAGCGTCAGTTGGGATGGATATGTTTGACACATATTTGCTTTCGACTGATGATGAGGTTACAGTGGACATTACGAGTCCGATTTTCTAACAAATTGATCCGTGGTATTGAGACTAATATTCACTCCATAGTATTAAATTATCATCATTGCCACATATGGTCTTGATTTCAAGAGCGACAAACTACATTTTGTTCATCGGTTGAAAACCAAAATTAACTGCGGTCTTAAATTATTTCAGTGTTTCACGAACTTATAGAGCGTTATTGGTTGAACAAAATCAATTTTTTTGGAATTAAAAATGAAGAATGAACGCCACTTTTCAGTAGACAATAAAAAATTTTTTTTTGTCAATTTCTGTTCCGTGAATTTCTTTCGCAATCCATGGGGTTCTAAAAGCATATCGCACTGGTACTATAGTAATAAACACAAACACTGTACAGAATGGCATTGAAAAACAGAATTAGGGGGAAATGCCATAATTCAAATGCTGTCAACAAATGGCTGAGTAACCCGCAAATAATTTTAAAAATACGCATTCCAACTGTTCTTGTAATTTCTAACGTACCCGAAAGACAATGCACAGGATGACATAACAGTTGCCCAAACTTTCATATCTCCTCCGTGCCTCGACCTTTTTGAATGTAGAATAAAACATATATTTCCTCAGCTTTCTGACCTCTACTTTTACAATTCGTCCGTCCCATCAAGGTAGAAGCTTTCCCGAAAACTTCCACACGCTTCTCCTGTCATTCACCTTGTGACAGAAAGATATGTTGACTTTCCATAGATACAGGTTTTGTACTTGGCGCTATTTGGGGAATATTCAGTTGATAAGTTGCATGTGCTGCCACTGTGAAGGCGCTCTTTGACTCAGGACGACACGTTACGCGAATCTTCATATCACTAGCTCCGAAAAGAAAAGAATGCTCATTTCAATCTCTGGACAACTACCCGCTTTGGTCGGAGTTCTGTGGCCCTCGATCTCCGAATCATACTCTACAGGGTGAGGTTTTTTGATTATCAAATTCAACGATTTTTTTCTCAATCTTGATGTTCCCAAGTTGTCATCGAAATACAAAATTGGAACAAGCTGAAAGTACTATGGAGGTCGAATCTGTTGCGCTGGTCGTAGTTTCCTTCCATTTTCCGCGAATGTGAGAGCGGGAACAAGAAAACAAGTAACGGCCTTCGCATATTTCCTTCACTTTTTCCCTTATGACCAAGTATAGTGCGGTTGATTATGCCATGTACTTTTAAGTCTGAGAACGTTCTACGGTTAGGAAATCTTGTGATCACGTTAAGCAACTAGAAGTATGGGAACTTACTTTTCTAGATGTCTAAGCTGCTGAAAGGCAAAATATTTTAAACGTTTCGAATAAAAATCATTTTGGTGGATTCTTCAAATTGAATTTATATCTTTTTATTTAGGATAATTGAGTATAATTTCTGTTCTGTTTCAATTGAGTATTGTTTGATTTTTATCGAAAAATATTATTCACATATCATATACTTTTTCAGGTTCGATACTTTCCTGGTTCTAGTTTCATTTATGGTTCTTGTGTTGCATTCCTGATTTAAATTCACATTGATAATAGTATCATTTTCACGCTAGTGATTTTGATTCTCAGAATTGCACTACAATACATAGATATTTAGAAATGTGTATCTTGATGGAATCTTATGTGCGTTCATCTGCTGGTATTTTAACATTCAGTATCCATTGTATTACCACACTTAATATTTGAAAGTTCTTTCCATGTTATAAAATAAATGAAATAAATTTTGATTTTAATTGATTTTCATTGATTTGATTTTTTTCTTTTTCGTTCTAGGTCAAGTTATTTTACATTCAGTTGAAAGGTATAAAAGATGGCTACAACAGAGGAATCAAGGATGCATCAAAACATTTAAAACTGAATGATCTGTTGTAAGTATTGATAAAACGTTTTCTATTAACGATTTTTGTTAGAGTAAACTTTTGTCCTGGAAATTTGAGATAATCACCGACTTAAGCATTCATTATTTTAAAAACCATTATAATTTTTAATATCAGCTGAATAATACGTAATAATTTTTGTTTTTCAAATAAATTACTGAATAGCTTTAACGTATGACGTGTAATATGTCCCGGAATGAATTGTCAAAGCAAAAAGGATTATTTTAGGATAACAATTATTTAAGGTAATTCGATTCCTCGAAGTCAAGGCGTTATGAACATCGTTGACAGAATAGGCATAATCTTATCTCCTTAATTGGGAAATTATTTTTTTTAGGATTTATCATTAATTATTTTGACAACTGTCACTAGTCTTATTTTAATGCATGTTCAATTAAGGAAAAAGCCTTTTTCTTTCGCATTGCGATCATGTTTTTGCAAGCCTCAGAAGACTAGGGGCCAGGTAGATACATATACTATAAAGATAGATTTATTATCTCCGCAGGTAGGTATACAATCTTGTGGCAGAACACTGCAATTTACATATAATTAGATGAACAAATGTTCTTGTTGTCATTTCTCCAACTGAACTACTGTTGAGAAGAATTTCCGCTGAATTAAATACATATTATGCAGTGAAGCCTATTGACTTAATATGTCGGTGGTTTACAAAGTTTAGTCGGAGTGGTTCACAAAACCATGTGATGGTGACCAGTTAGTTCCCAGACAACAAACCCAGACGACCACGAGGTCCTGTGAATACTTGAAGGCAGCCAAGAACGCCCTATCGCAAAGTTGAACAATACTTGAAAAACTATTAAAATACGTATATTTTCTATTTAAAATCAAATTGACACTAAACATTTTATATAATTTAATAAATCGCGTTTTATGATAAACCAAGGCGACTGTTAAGTTCAATTTTCATCTTTTCTAAGAAGCTTGCTTATTCCTGCCCCCTTTTTTGCCATTGGACGGCAAAGTAACCCGCATGAGCGAAGGTCTGACGGTCAACCGCGTCCTTCTTCTGACAAAGTGCAGGCCTACACTACATCATTTTCGTTTGCTCTTTGCAGTTCATGCAATTAATATTGTGAACCCTTAAGATCAACTACACAAATAAAACGTATGCCTGTTACATTCACTAAATAGCGATTTTTTTGATTGTTTCGCAAAAATGTTAACATCTGCACGACCCGTCACTTATATTGCGATGACAGTACATATTTTTCAACCGATGAAAACAAAGTATTCTGCAGAATCGTATTCTTTGATGTTGGTAGTTGATGAGGATAATGTTTTTGGTAATAATGATAATAATGATAATAATAATAATAATAATAATAATAATGATGATGATGATGATGATGATGATGATGATGATGATGATGCGTGCCAGGTGGCACAACATCCAGGGCGACCTGGAGGACCTGACCACCATCTTCGGGCCGCGCGTGCGCTCGGGCGGCGGGCGCGTGACGCACGAGGAGCGCTGGAGCCGCGTGCTGGGCTCGGGCTCCTGCTCGGCGCTCGTCAAGGTGCTGCCGGGCGCCACGGACCTGCTCGTCGGACACGACACCTGGTCCAGGTGCGCCCCAGCGTCAGGCTGACGACGATCGCTCCTCCGACGGATGTTTGATGCAGTGGTTAATTCTGGGTTTAGAGTACGGTTCAATTGAAAGAAGGGGTCACAACGAGAAAGATTCGGTCTCTTCGCTTTCGGTTCGTTCTGCCGCAGTGCAATGTCTTCGCAGAGACTCGTTGCAGGAGGAGTGGGGGGAAATCGCTCCTCACTTGCGCCGCTGTCGTGCGACCGACGGATGTTTGATGCATTGGTTAATTCTTGGTTTAGAGTACGGTTCAATTGAAAGAAGGGGTCACGACGTGAAAGATTCGGTCTCTGCGCTTTCGGTTCATTCTGCCGCAGTGCAATGTCTTCGCATAGTCTCGTTGCAGGAGGAGGGGAGGGAAGGGTTGGTTGATAAGGGTAAGTCCATGAAGGAGTAATGTCAGTCAAGGGATTTCAGATCTGGGGTATTTCTTAGTTTAGCGTAAGGTTCACGTAAAAGAAGGAGTCACGCCGAGAAAGATTCGGTCTCTTCGCTTTCGGTTCATTCTGCCGCAGTGCAATGTCTTTGCATACACTGTTCCCGGCACATTGTGATGCGAATTTACTTTCAAAGGCAAGTTTTCTCGCTTCGCTCGACCAGATCCAAGACGACGAGGCTTGGGCCCTCGGGTTCACTACAAACATTCTTGAGTCTATCCACCCCATAATTACCAATTCACTTTTATAAGAAAGCACTTTAATGGTTAAGTTCACTCTCTGAAATTAATAAAATTGAAAACTCATAAATTGCATTTCAGAAAGATATTTCGGACATTCTCATTCTTTTCACAATATATCATATTTTTGGCACAGTTTTATAACATTAACAGCCTCATATTTTTGCATATCACCAAAGAAACACACTTTCAATACCTCCACTATGAACAACCCGGACTGCAGTATTCAAACTGCGCAGATGAAAACACTTTGTCAAGAAATAACACTACAAGCTTTGTTTAGAATTTAATCCAATGTACAGTTCATAGTAAACGAGAGACGTATCCTAAAATACGAATTAACTGATACATTTTATGTAATGAACGCACGGGTTTTATCCTACCCTTATCTCTTTTATCAAACGTAGTTGTATATACTTACGTGTGTCTTCCAAACGTTTCCAATTTATATAATGCACGAAGGTTGATAAGTAAATCAACAATTCTGAATGGACTCACAAAGCTCTCGGTGGCCAACACGTCTTCGAAAGTGTCGCGTCGAACTTGCCCCAGCACTTTGTTTCTTTAACACTACTACAAAGCATTCTTAATTTTTTTCGAAATCCGGGTGTTTTGCTCCATGCTATTGTAAGAAGAGAGTCAAGGCAAGTTCGAAGGTTAGAAAACCCTGCTCACGACAAAACTGCCGACTGAATCGCGTTCGGAGTGGTTCGGCGATGCATCTGGCGAGCGGTGTGCGCAGCGAGCAGAACCTACGTATTTGCTCTCGTAACTGTTCAGTGCTTCGGACAAATGATCGTGCTTATCGCCGCTGGACTGAAAATGTTTGAGAGTTTCATGGGCGTCGCTGTCGGGCGACGCGAGGGGGACGTGACTTTCTTAATACATTTTGGTAGGTGGTGTATGTTGGAGTGGATTGCCCGGTAATTCCTACTAAATCTACTGAACCGATTCCACTCCCTATAATAGTCTAGTGACACCCATGGAGAGGTTGATCCAGGTTTCCGGCGCGGGCGCGCGGTGTGTCCAGCGAGCAGAACCTACTTGCTCTGTATTTGTTCAGTTCTTTGTACGAATGATCGTGACCGTAGCTGCTGGACTGAAACTGTTCGAGAGGTCGAGGCACGCATCTGGCAAGCGGTGTGCGCAGCTACCAGAACCTCCTCGCTCTGTGTTTGTATATTCTTCGTACGAACGATCGTGGGGTGAAAACGTTCAGGGGGTCAAGCCAGGCTTCTGGCAAGCGGTGTGCGCAGCAACCAGAACCTCCTCGCTCTGTGTTTGTATATTCTTCGTACGAACGATCATGGGGTGAAAACGTCCAAGGGGTTAAGCCAGACTTCTGGCATGCGGTGTGCGCAGCTACCAGAACCTCCACGCTCTGTATTTGTACATTCTTCGTTCGAGCGATCGTTCCAGGGGTTTAGCCAGGCTTCTGGCATGCGGTGTGCGCAGCTACCAGAACATGCTGCGCGTGGAGAAGCTGTACATCCTGCCGCTGCGGCGGCTGGCGGGGTCCCCAGCACGCGTGCCGGGCGTGGCCATGTCCTTCTCCTCGTACCCGGGCATCATCACCTCCGGAGACGACTTCTACATCATGTCCTCCGGCCTGGTCACCCTGGAGACCACCATCGGCGTCAACAACGACTCGCTCTGGAAGTTCGTGCGGCCCTCGCAGGTGAGTGGCTGCGGCGGAGACCGCTGCTTGTCGCAAAGCTGCGCTGCTGCAGAAGTCCGAATTCAGAGTTGTGAAAAGACTGCAAGAAATAAGAGGATGTTAAGAAATTCTATAAGGTACTTAATATTATTTCGTGAATTTTGATGTCGAATCCTATCATTGCTGAATATCAGGGGCGTCCAGAAGGTGGGACAGTTGGGGAAATTAGCCCCTGACACCCACTTACGTGGAGCCCCGAAGATTTACAGAAAATATACTTCCTTCGATTAATTTTTTGAAAAAAAATTAACTCTAGTTGAAATATGATGCATTTTAAAATATATTATTAATTAATAATAATAATAATAATAATAATAATGAATAAGGAGCAATTTTATTGAAAATAAGGGGTCCTCATAGATCTATTGCCCCAAGCCCCTAGTTTTCCCTGGGCGCCCCCGCTGAATATGTATCTAGGGGACGGATTTTAATGAAATGTCTTTTTTTCTTTTTATTTTAGAAAAATGCTGTTTATTATAGAAATTCATTTTATGTTATGACAAAAGGTAAAAAAAATATTTATTTTTTTCATTTTTCTTCGATTTTGGCTTATAAGTCATTTTTACAATTTGCGTAATTTTTAATGCATTTTCGCTGATTTTATCGATTGTCATATTTTAATGGTGCTTGCTTCATATAATATTTACGGGTTGCAACAAACGTTCTCCTCAGAGTTTCTGAGTATCTATATCTCATAGCCCATTCGATTTCTTCGCTCAGAAGTTGTAATGTCAGCCATTGTGATGCTTGTCAGCGCCATTTGCTCTTCAGTCAATGGGGGGTAACTAAAGACATATTTTGTGGGAAAGAACAGTCCAAACCAAAAGTTTGAAAGCTCAGTTCACTTGAACAAAAGTAGCGTCGATTACATCAGTAACATACCCAACAACTTGAGTTGTGTATTCGAACTGGTTTTGATCTCATTTTTACGTCATTCTTTAATTTTAGGGCAATTGTAAAACATTTTAAGAGCATTTTATTGACCTTTTTTGGAGATGTTTTAGATCATCAATCCATCCCTAGTTGCATCGTTTCGATAATTGCTACTTTAACCGATTAGTGCACATCGATATGTCACGCGACAATTGACCTCATTCATGTCCCCTCGAAGAGAATCGCATGCACTTGTTTATGAATTGTATGAAATGATCGGGGCGGCGACGGCAATGGGAAGGAATTGTCGAAAAGGAGAACGAATTGCATCGGCTCCGCGCGTGGGAGAAAGCCATCGCCGCAGCGGCGAACGTGCTGTTGGTCCTCGCGCCGGTGTGCGTGCGTGCACTCACGCGCGACTTAAAGGCAACGGGCGCCAAAGGGTCGCGCCGCGGGCCGCGGGAAGACCCTGTGGCCAAGACTTCCCTGCCGCCCCACCCGCCGCCCCCGCCGCCGCTTCTGAAGATGCCTTTTGCCATCGCCTCTGCGCGCCACAACCTCGCTCCGACCCGCTCTACCCGTCGCCGCCGCCTCCGCGGCGCACACCCCTGTCAACCTCTCCCATCATTGCCGCACCACCATCACCGTTTCTACCTACCGTCTCCCCCACTTCTGTTTGGCCGCCCACCTGCCAGCGCCTCGCCTCCACCATGTACATCATCCTCCTCCTACTTTCACCCCCGCCACCGCCATGGCCGACACTACTACCACCGCCTCCCACCAAATTTTGTGCCGCACCGCGGCACCGACTTCGCCTTCCACCTGTACGCATCATCTCTCTCCTCCTCCTCCTCCACCACCACCAACCACCGACCATCAACTGGTCACTACTAACCGCCTCCTTCCACTGTGTGTTGCAACCGCCAGCCGCCTTCACCACACTCTCACACAATCATCTCCTCCTCCATCACCGCCACCCACCATCACCGTCACTAACCCTTACCACCGTCTTCCCACACTTCTGGTGCGTGCCACGCACCATCGCCAGCGCCCTTCGCGCCTCCACCTGTAACCACCATCTCCTCCTCCTTCACCCGCCACGCCGTGGCCCGTCACTACCACCCGCCCGCCCCTGCCTTCGCACCTCCTGGCACCTCCGCCTGCGTCCAGTCCCCGTCTTCGCCGCCCCCGCCCCCGCCGCCAACGGTCGACGCGCGGGCGGCGCGGCGCGGCGCGGCGCGTTCGCATCCCACGCGCTGCGCGGCCTTGAACTTGAGAGCGCGCGGCGCGAAGCGAAGTGGTGCGAGGCGGCGAGGACGGTGAGGATTCCTTGTCGCGTGGCGCGGGGGCGATGGAGAAGGGCAACTGAACCAGACGGAGAAGTCCATAAAATGTGCTAGAAGTATTGTGGTTGTCGTAATGACAAATGTGCAAGATTTAATCACACTATTCCCTATACAGACCTCAGACAAAGTAATATTGCTGATATAATAGATTATTCTCTAATTTGCGTTTTCTTCAATGAGAATATTGGGTCATAAGATGGGAGGAGTAGTTTTAATTCTGTTCAATTCACTAAGAGTTTCAGGCGTTATTTATTAAACATCAAAATTATACTGTAAATATTTATTTCTTAAAAAATATTATTTAGTATTTTTTCTCTTTAAATAATATAGAAATACCTATACCTGAAGGATTATACGAAACGATCGTTAGCTCTGAAGGAATATATGCAAATAATACAACAAGAATTGGGAAGTATACAAAAGTCTTGCAGCATTTGCCACGAATATAAAAAAGAAACTCCCCTTGAGATGATTTGAACTCGTTCATGAGTAGGTATTTCGCATGGTCACTTGCTTATTTTTTATCAAAATCAATATTTCTTTCTTAATTGACATTGTGGCAGTTTCGTAGTCACTAACCCTGCCTTCAACTCGTCATTTGATTTGATTGATTAGTGAATCCGAGGGTATTACTGCTAAGGTCATTAGTCCTGTAAATTATGTGCAGTGTATGTTTTTATCGCGGGAAGTGGCGGTAAACTTCTTTCGCTGGATGGCGAGATCTGGCGCCGACCTATGTCGGCTTGTAGGGGTTTTCCCCAACCAAGTATCTCCCACCAGCGTGGCACCGCCCCAGCTGGAACAAGCTTTAAGCTCCCGACTAGTCTCCCGACAAGTGAGGTAGTGTAGTGCATATTAGTGTAAGGAAAGAGCGCACACTGTTCGTGGCCCGTTTCTTAGGGAACTGCTTCGGCATTCGCCTGTGTTGTTCGGAGAAACATTGGACAACTATGGATCAGAGTAACCGGCTCCTAGAATTCTCTTCCAAAGCGAAGTATCTAGCTCGTTTCGACAATCTTGCCACCGCTGGAACTTAAACCCTAGAACCTCCCGGTCAGAGGCACTGCATTGGCATCAGTTGATCGCCTGAGCCACCTTTGTCACGGGAGTGGGAGGATAATTCGGGGAGAGGGAGCAGACTCATGGATGAGAGTTAGAGGGACCTCCGAAGGAGACGTACGCCGGTAGAGGAGGCAGTGGGGAGGGCGTTAGTGGCGTTGGTGATAAACGCGGTTGAGATGGTAGAGATGGCGGTGCAGGTGGCGGTGGCGGCGGCGGCGGCGGCTGTGGTGGTGGCAGTGGCAGAGGCGGTAGTGATAAATGCGGTTGAGGTGGTAGTGATGGCGGCGTCTGTGGCGTGGTAGTGACGGCGGCAGGAGCGGCGCTTGCTTAAGACGCGGAGGAACACGAGGTTCCGGCAAATTACTCGAGTTCCGGCTTCATAAAGCATCTTGACGTGTTCTCACGTTGCTTCCCGCCATCTTAATTTCATTCAAAGAGCCGGGTTTCGCGAATTCTTTTGCATATCACGACTCATTACTTACTTCTAGAGAAGATCAAGGAGCCGAGAGAGGTACTGTCTTAGAAAAAGAATTGTGGAAAAATGCAATTGCCTTTGCTGGAAGCAAAGGCGTTGACCCAAAAAGGAAGCTCATTGTGTGTGCGTGCATATAGTGTATTACTTCCATTCTCTAAAAATATTCACTCTGAATATAGTCAAATGCTTTTGGTGCAAATATAATTATTTACGTATGGAAATGCGCTTTTATATTCATAGTTTATTGCATTTTGTGGAAATGGAAATGAAGTATTAGCTAAGTTCATCAATATTCATCCATTTATTCAGTTTCTGGTACGATCGAAACCAGTTTTCTCGTGCGTAGTTTTATATCTCTGTCGGGGATTTAATTATTATAAACGATTCTGACGCTCGCTCAGTCCGAGAGAAAGAGAGGAAAAGTGTTAAAGGGAAAGAAGTGCGATGTGATTAAAATCAATTTTTAGGGTGATTTTTTTCTGAAAGAGATACTAAGTCAATGAAATCAACAATGCACTTTTACGTTAAATAATTGAGGCCATACTTTGCTGGCTCCAAATTTTAGAATTAAGGGCAGAATGGATTTGAGACCTTTGTTATTTTCTATAATCAAAAATAATGGATTTCTAAAGTAATGATTACATTTAATTTTGCACAATAAATATTACCAATTCAGTGAGTGGCGAAACCACACAAAACTGTTTAATCATGCTTTGTTGGGATGAGTCGAAATTAGAGCAGAAGGCAACGTGGGTATACAAAGATTCGGCTGATGGATCTGAAGAAGTGGGTATTTTCGTGCGGTAGAATGTTCACAGAGTCCTCGTGATTACGTCATGGGTTACTTAATTGATATGGCGGCCTGAGACAAGAGCAGCACTTTCGGGGGGAATTCGGGGAACGACAATTCAGTGAGTAAAACAGTAGGGATGATGAAGTGATGAATGGTGGAGTATTATAGCTCATACAAGAAACAACGAATACCCATGGAAACCCGTATTTAAAATAATTTTCTAAAATTCGTACTTCGTTGTTACTTTTGAGGTATAATTAACCACTTTTAAAGTCTCCTCTCACGGGGCCGTGGCGCGTCATGCGTGGCCAGATTACTGGCTGCGCTTCTGGAAGACGCGCAAAGTTACACATTTCTTCTGGTGGCGGGGTCGCGTCTCCAAACAGACCTCTCGACAATACTGCGGTTTTCGGACAGAGACACTTCTGATTACTATTTATTTTTTTATTCTTCTTTTTTTCTTTCTTTTTTTCTCTTCTTTTTCTTTTTTCTCCTTTTTTTCCTTCTTTTTCTTTTTTCTTGTTCGTTTCTTCTTTTTTCTTTTTTTCTTCTTTTTACTTATTTAAGATCGCTTTTGAACAACTATGGCCAGTGTAATTAACATTGGCTTGGTAACTTTGGGTTAACAGTAGCAAAACTTACATTCGGGCACACTCAAACATCCATGCCCCAGGCGGGATTCAAACGCGACCCTTCAGGCACGAGGAAGATTCGGATTTTCAGCCTTAGCAATCTTGGCTGTCCAGGTCGATATCAATTCTTTACTCACCATAAAAAACGTTAAGGCTGTACGCGATGAAAGAGAAGTACGACCATTACATTTCTTTCTTAATTTCAATATTGATATTAACTGAGAGTTTTTTATCTACAGCCTGTAAACATGTGGAAGAACGCGTTATTTCATAAAGTCCCCTTCGTTATAAATTCGGTTGAGACCACAAGTTCCAGGTATTCTACCGCAATCAAGCATTTGAATTTCGAAATGTTCGCAATACATAACCGCCAGTTTCAATGCAGGATTTTGAAATCTCTGAAGAGTTCTGGGAAGGACCATCGGATACTTCTGACGCTGCGAAAATTTCGTATTGCACTTTCCTGGATTCCGTGAGAGACTTCTTCGGTCCGTTGGTTTTTCCTCTTAGCGAGCAAATATAATTACGCGTTGGTGCAACGCATGGAGAGTAATGTGTTTAATTGTCGTGTTTGCTCTCGTTTGTTTAATTACCTCACCAATTGCAATGGAATAAAGACTGAAATTATCCAAGTAATAGTCAAGGATGGATTTAGGGAAGAGAGCGCTCTGGAGAGATGCCTCCCCTAAAAAAAACTTGGGTCTGCATTGTTTGGAAAATTTTCTGAAATAATAAAAGCATATTAGCGAAAATTAGAATCAGAACATTCGCCAAGAGAACTTTGTGACGTTCAAAAACGTATTGATACATCTACATTTTAGATCTAGAATCAAAACATCATAATCATGATTGTCGAAAACACGTTTTTTATGTTGAAAATTATTTCAATTATACTGACCCACGATAAAACCGTGATATTTCCCCCAAAATGGAATGTCTGATTTATCCCCTGGGGATGGCTTAGGCCGGCATTTTTCATACAATCTCAACTTGCATTACACTTAAGTGTGAGAAATGATATTTTTATTAAAGAATGGGAAAGAAATGTTATCTTCATTGTACTCCTCACAACGTTCTGCAAGTGAAAAACCTCCAATTCTTAAACCGGCAAAGGTGGCTCAGGGTAACAACTGATGCCACTGCAGTGACTCTGGTCGGGAGGGCCTAGGATTCGAATCTCGACGATGGCAGGATTTTTGACTCTGGCTAGATAGCTAAGTCGAATTCAGGCACTATGTAGCGTAGAATCCTAGCGGTCAGCTGCTTGGATCGGTGGTTCTCCCATTCATATCAGGGGAATGCCGGAGGAGAACCCTAACAAACGGGCCACAGACCGCGCACTGTCTTTTCTTCCTCTTCTATGTACTATTGTCACCCCTTACTTTCACACACTTACACTCACATGCTCTACACTATCACACGTGTCGGGAGACCAGTCAAGAGCGTGTCCGGACCAGTCGGGAGCCTCGAACCGGCTGGGGTGGTACCCTGCAAGCCGACGTAAGTCGGCACCGGATCTCGCCATCTAGCGGGTGAAAGCCACCGCCACCTCACGCGATAAAACACGCGCTGCACTTACGGGACCAATGACCTTACTAGTTGACGCGCTCGGAACCACGAATCAATCAGTGGATCCGATTCATCTTTTGCAAATGTCTCGCTTGAAGTGGCCGGCGGTGACGTGTTGGCAGGTGCTGGAGACGGTGCGGTCGATGGTGGCGAACCGGCTGGCGGTGGGCGGGCGCGCGTGGGCGGCGCTCTTCCGCGACTACAACAGCGGCACCTACAACAACCAGTGGATGGTGGTGGACTACGCGCGGTGGCGCGCGGCGGGGCCGGCGGCGCGCGCGCAGCGCCTGCCCTCGGGGCTGCTGTGGGTGCTGGAGCAGCTGCCCGGGCTGGTCGTGGCCTCCGACCGCACCGACACCCTGCGCGCGCGCTCCTACTGGCCCTCCTACAACGCGCCCTCCTTCCAGGAGGTGTTCGACGCCTCGGGCACGCAGGCGCTCGTCGACAAGTTCGGCGACTGGTGAGTGACGCGCCGGGCTCGCTGGCCCGATGGCAATCTGTTCCCCTCGTTGCGCGAGCAATGGAGCAGGTAGCGGCTGCGGCAGAGGGACAACCGGTGTTAGGGATCGTTTGCCGTTGGGCGGACATTGGTATTCACAGATTTTCAACTGGCGCGAGGCGGGCACATTAAGCTTGTCTTCATGTTGAATGAAGGGTCATGCTAGGTTTAAGGAACATGTTTCGCGTGGGTTGTGTCCATCCATGCAGCATTATTCCCCGTTGGGAAAGAATGAAGCTGGTAGCATCGGTGAAAGAATTACAACCGTCGCCAGACAGGGTCATCAAGCTTTGCTGGATTGTTAATCGCCCTTCAAAGTCCCTAAATACGCTTGAGCAAATTCTTGCAAGCCTGCGACGCGGCATTGGTAAAACAGCTCGATCCGTTGTGGGAATAATGAAGAAGGTAACTGTGGTGATAAATTTATATGGGGACGAGTCGCCAGCTCGTCTGACCTGACGTGATTGTCAATAGAATCCTTTAGAGCTCATTCACAATAGCTTTTGCCAAACGTGAAACTAGAAAACAGCGTAAAAACTAATAGGCACACGCATTTATATTTGATGTGCTGATTGTAAATCGTTTTTCCTTCTTAAGAATTGCATGAATGTTATTATTTTGAATTAAAACTGAATAGTATACTGCTCTCTTTCTCTCTCTAAATTCTCAGAATCGCTCTGCTTATTGGTCTGTACTATGCAACTTTTCGCATTTATTTGGTTATTTAACTATATTAACGCTAGCGCGCATGCTGCTATTACGAATTGCAAGCACTTCCAGTATTGTTTCGCTATCACACTCTCTTCAGGTCCCGATAAATCAAGTGCAACTAGGTAGTACCATATTTTTTTAACGTCACGTTGGAGACTGCGCATGCGCCCATTCTGTGAAGTTGGTAATTGGCGTACCCGACTTTGATTCACGTCCTTTAAAAACTCGCTCATGAAAACGTTAACTAATATGGCAAGATAAACGTGTGATTTTAATTTAATCATGACCGATCCATTCAGATTGACACCAAATGTAAACTTGAAGACAGCGATTTATCGATGAAACAACTTATCGATACAATAAATTCTCGGCATCGACATTTTGTGTACAGTCGAAAGACATTAGGCTAAATAATATGAATTTCTCATTTTTTCAAAATAGCCTATGTATTTCTACCCGTATACGGAAAGTCATTTCTTCATCACAATTTAAGTTCAAATCATTTCACTGCTGCCCTTTAAGTGTCATACGAACCCATTTGTATAAATTAATTATCCAGTGTATTTCAAGTGTTCTGTACAATCATCATGTATTCTCACTTCCCCCCACACATTTCAGAAGTTTTCAGTGTCAGCTATCAGCAACGTTGAACACGATGGGATATTAAATGCGGATAAAGTATAGTAATTATTTTTAATGGAATAAAACCATTAAAATTAGGATACAACATGGTAATGTAAATTGGAAAAACTTGCCTTGATACGTTCACCTCAAGGCACACATCAAGGATTCGCGACTAAAACATTGCTCTTCAAATAGAAAAATCTCTTGACCTCACAATACTCATGTGTATATGATTCCGTTTAATTGTGACGCATTCCTTTTTCTCAAGCGACATGTGACAAAACTACAATGGGGGTTCATTCCTTGGTTTTGTGAGAAGGTCTCGCGTGTCCAGAGCTCCTTTTCGACTCACGAATTCAGGGGAGACGCCCCCTCCCCGCCCCCTTCGACCGCCGTCCCTCACGCCCGTACCCGCCGGAACAATCTAGCACCTGTTCCCCTCTGCCGGGAGCCGTTTGAAAGGGGAATGTCCTTTTGTTTAACTCGTCACGCTTTGCGCTAGAAGCCACTAATGAACTGACTTAATAAGAGAGCTCTCGCCCGGATGGGATAGTTCTGCGTTCTGTAGAACTCCGTATTCTTTACACAAAATATAAAATATAGTAGTTCTGTGTGTCGACTATCATACAAGAGAAGTAGTGTGTGACTTGTAGGAATAGAAGGAAAAATGATTGTATAGCAACGCTGAAGAAAGTCAAGCGCAATTGTAAATTGATAATTATTCATTTCTTCTTGTCGGCTGTGCGGACAATTCCGCGTCTGACGTATGTGAGGCAAATTATTGAAAACAAAAAAGTAGGAGAAAACGTATTGTTAGAAATCATTAAAGCGCCATGATTTATTTCTTAAATTTTGAATTCTTAAATAGATAAAAATCTCAACATACATTTTAATTTTCACTCATAGCTGTCGTTTGTTTATCAGAATTTAACCTTAGTAAAACATTAAGAAATTCAGGCAGCATTTGCTCCCGATTCCCGAATGATTCATTCAAACCGACAACCATATATTTTTTATGAATTAAAATTTTAATTTTTTCTAAACTATTCTTTCTACTTAACCAAATTTTATGATGTCTGCTTTAAATGAAAGTAGTGAGGCTCTAGATGTGTTATCGCTTTCTATTATCAACCAGCTTTATAACATAGGTTACACATAACATAGTAAAACATAAAATTTCAATAATATCTTAAAATTAATATAATGAACGCTTATCTTCCGCCATTAATTCATTATTTTCTTCTGTGAGTTGCTGTCGATCTACAGAGTGCGGCAGTTAATCCGGACAAATTTCAATTTGAATTTTACGCCATATCGTAGCTCCGTTAGAGGTCACGATTGGCGTTCTTGAAAGCCAGACACATATAATGAAACAAATATATTGAAACTAAAATTATGTTTTTAAATTTATCCTGAAACACTGGATCATTATCTTTGGGACAAAACTAAACATGGGATATGTGAAAAATATTTAAATTTCGTAGGTTTACAAAACTGTCACTTCTGTGTTTTTCTGTGCAGTTAAGGTCAAATTTTGTTAGGTTCCCACTAGAAATCTGTAGCAAACTAAAATAAAAAAATGTCTACTTTCTTAGTTTATACGTTCTTTTAACATTTAAAAAGTATCATTATATATTATTGTGATTATTTTTTGCTCATCGTATTGTGTAAGTTCTCCCGTTCTCTGCGTCGGAATATCCGACACCCGGGATACGGATTTGCTCACGCAGCCAAGGACGGAACCAGTCTTCGGCTCCGCAAACCTGGAACGTTGGCCATTTCACATATTCCCACCTTATCATGATTTCTTCATTTACTAGTGGCCTGCAGCCGCAAAAATACTGCTAGAAAATGAGGTCCCAATGCTGCAAAAATTGATTTCTCCGAAATGGCACACCTGAATACTGAAGATTCTTTCTTCCTCGTCGCATGGCATCAGCTGTTGTAAAGAGTTGCCCACTGGGTATGATAATTTAGACATAACATCAGTTATGAGAAATACGGAATTAACATAATCAAGTATTTTCATTTTTCACTCAAAATCGAAAGTGTTTTATGTTTTTTGTACTTTTTCCGAGTTTCTGGTATCTAACGAAATCAATAACATCTCTTAAATGGTGAGATGCGGCTTAGTTTTCCGTCGATTTATTATGCATATTTTCGGAATTAGTAAATAGATTCTCTTTGTACAATGATTCGTGTAACGTGAAAGATATGGGATGATCTGGTCGTCAAACGCTTCTTAATAGTTCAGTTACACCATTCCGTTTTAAACAAAAAAAATGTTAAATACAATGAATTAAATCACGACAAACTTCAAGTCTCGTCCTCAGTATCCCTTTTTTATTGAATACATTTCCGAAATAACGAATCACTTCTTGGAATCTAAATTAAAGATAAAATAAATTCTGGATCCCGTACTCACGCTATTAATCATCATTCTTAAATCTTGAGCTTAGGTTCCCGGTGACTTGAATTGTTATTAATTGTATTTATGCTGCATCATCCACACTTCTTTGTTTCCATCTCAAGACTCGTGTTACATCATTTCGTTCAAGGGTTCACAGAAAACATGAAATAATGCATGAGTTGACGTTTGACATAAAACTAAGGAAGTTGATTATTAGAGGTTATGTTTAGAGGGCTTGAATAAAAAATGAAGGAAATGTTAATTATAGGGAGTCTATCTACTGAGGTACTTCAAACGCCATGTGGCGCAGATGTTAACTGGTATTCCTGCATTAGTTATCGCGCGTGTGATTTAAGACGTTCGTCGCGTCTTGGGCAGGTAGGAAGAGTATAATCGGTTAGCTAGAACACGAAACCGTAGCGTGGCGTGTGTATGTGTGCGTGACAAAATAACGGCGTGGCTAGTCTTACGTTAGCGGAACTCCATCGGCACATACTGTTTGCCTTGCAAAGCGGTCATCATGTAAGTTAGCAACTTTACCTTTGATTGCAAGAGATACCTTTTTGCAGATATTTTGGATTCCAGAAGGATAAAATCAAAGGACTTCAAAGTATTGAGCGTGTGCCATGAATATGTAAAGTATAAACAAACTTTGAAGAACTCACTTTTTTCTCACAGAAATTAGTGAGATACGGAGAGGACAGAGTGAGTTATTGCGAGATCTATCTTTTTGCAAGGTCCGATCAGTCGCGGAATGAAACCTACAATGAAACTCCGATGACGCTGTGCGCAGATGTGCTGCACTGTGTCTCTAGAATACGCATCGATGGCGTCACGTTGCAGTTATGAGTTCTGAGCGCGCAGTGAACACATAAGCAAGCCTAGAACAATAGTCTCAAGCCAATTGATAGTTCGTGCTGACATTCAATATCTTCATGTTGAGAGGCGCAAAGTAGCTGTAATCCATTGATGAATGAGTAATGTATACGGCAAAATATCACGAGTGGCTGCAAAGTGCAGGAACTTTGGAGCAGGACGTACAGACGTTCATGCTGCAGGCTGTCAGGGAAGGGTGTGAGTGTCTACTATTTGCACCTGCAACACATCAGCGTCCTCCAAGTTTTCTCTGCGGTTTTAACTTTGCGACCGCCCGGACCTTAAAAAACAGCCCTCGTATTGTAACTTTTTATGTGAAGTTCTGAAAAAAATGAAGACT